TGTGCCCAGGATAGACTTTGGGAAGGCCTTAGTTTTAATCTGAGTCCCATGGAGATCTAACTTGTGTTGTCCTTACAAAATATGTATATTTGAAGTAGATGCCCTTACCTTCAGTTGAATTTACCTCTGTGTAAATGTACACTTACATAAAGCTGTGGCTCCTGAATAAAGCAATGGATCCTGTTGAAATCAGTGGGACTTCCTTTCAGCTCTGTGTGTTTACAAGGGGGAGCCCAGGCTACAACCCTGAGCCTGGTTACTGGCACATAAATCTCTTCCATATTCAATGGGAAGCAAGCTAGTCACCAGAAACTGTAAGCAGAACCTCAGCCAGACCAGACGTCAAAGCTGCCAAAGGAACTGAGTTTAACTTGCAAACATAGTCCACATTTTAAAGGGGATAAATCTTTCAGAATTGAACATCACTCACTCATTCCTTTTTCTTTCTGTTTTCCACTCTACCCTCTTTGAATGAAATAATTTTGAAGTGAAAATAAAAAAAATTGGTAGGCATCCTTTTTGGTGCACACACATGCAGTTTGTTTTGAAAAATAAAATAAAGCCCAATGGAAAGAAAAGCTTATTTGGGAATTCAGCCAGATAGAAAATTAGCATAAAGTCACATGCTTGACAACTGATACTTCAAACATTTAAAAGGAACACAATAAGAGTATTACATTTGCTTAGGTTTATAAAATCAGACCTTCAGGCATCTATTAGAGTATTTTGAGTATCATGAGACTTCCATGATAAGTTTAATCTTTGTTCCTTATTTTTTCTTCTTCCTTCTTTTTCCTTCCCTGTAAACCTCAATTTGCCCATGTCAGAAATATGAAGCCCAGCTTAATTACTATACAAAATAGCATCCCTCAAGTAAAAAGGCTGCACCTTTTGGTTCTTCCTTGAAATAATAAGAGGACAAATCACTCTTGAGCAAGGAGGATTTAAAAGAAAGCATCTCCGTATTGCAACCCATCTTGGAGTTAAGTTATTGTGGCTCGTTTATCCCTTCTAGTTTTTAATTTTTTGTCCAAACTCATAAAACAGCTTAACAACTCTATTAATAAAGGTATTATATTTCTCTTGGATCAATAAAGTTTTTATTTTAATGGCAGTAGTACACAGAGTCCGCAGTACGTAGAGAATCTTCTCCCGGACAGGTCTTGTGTACCTTCTGAACGCCTGCGGTCTTTTCCCCGCCCAGTTAGGTGACTTCTTAGTGCCATCGATCTAAATGCTTCTGCACAACGTGGTTGTGGAGCTGGATGATTGTTTTTCTGCTGCTTAACCCCCTCCCTCTTTCCTCCCCGACGAGTTTGTTGGCAGGGGCAGAATGAAAAAGCAGTTATTTCTCATCCTGCGCCCTGCATAATAGTCTCAAGAAATGCTATAAAGTTCTGGTTAATGTCCGAGACACATTGTTAAGTGTTTAAAATGTGGCCGCTACACACAATGCGCGCCAAAGTAGTTTAGTTGCTCCAGAATTGACCATTATCTTTTATAGTTAAGAATCAAGCTCACATTATTAGTTTTACTTCACTGGCTTTGACGATGCGCGTTGCTGTTTGCTTGCCTCGGCCTTGTTAGCGATTCGAGAAAGCGAGGACTTGAATGCAGGAGCTCCTCGCCCGATCCAAAGCTCCCACCGCCCTGCCGCCGCCGTCCTTTGAGTCAATACGAACTTGCTTACCATTGACCTCTCCGGGCTTTGGATCAGACCTGAGTGCCTTGACCATCAAGGCACGCTCTCTCCTCCTCTAAATGCTACAATAAAAGGTCTCCGAACAAGAGTTGCGGGCTGCTTGTTGCCCTACGCGTTGGTGTAAAGGAACCAGTGGTGCTCATAAAAGGAGTCCCCAGGCGGCAGAGGTATATATCTTGAGCTGCAAATGCCTCCAAGGGAAGAGCGAGGGATTTTAAGACCTCTTTTCTAACCCTGCTTAGTTTCTAGTCCCAACTGGTTACTTTCGCCTCACCTTTGGCCTGAATCCAACAGCACTGGATTCAGTGCAGCGCTGTGTTTAGCCTTCCCGGATTGTACCAGAGGTCCAACTGATCTCCCCACGTGGCTACTAGGATGTCCCTGAAAAGCTGACAAATAGGGCACAGTGGAATTCTCTCTCCTTTCTTGTCATCCCTGTTCTTATAAGAGGTGTACATTCTTTGATGGACTTGCCCATCGGTTCTCACACCCTCTTTCCAGTTGCATTTTTTTAAAAAGCATACAGTATAATTATCAAAGGGCCTTTCCGGTGGGGTCTATGAATTCTCTATTTTATTTAGTCTGCAAAAGATTTTAGACACTTTTATTATTGGTCCCCCACTTCAGCCTCACAATTCCTCCCTCCCTTGCACCAGAGTACAATGTTGTTATAGCGATGCTTATTTAGAAACTAGGAAAGGATTTCCTTGAGCTTTTCAAGTTCGCGTCTCATTCCTGCTTGATTTGGCAAATGAAAAATAAAGTGTAAGGCACAAAAAGGGAGGCTTTTCCTGCGTGAAATGTTGCTCTACCTGGCTAGAGTCGAAGAAGGCCCTTGAAGAAGGCGAAGTTGGGCTGTGGGCGGGGTCCTCCTTTCATTACGTTTCTATCTGTATTTATCAGGCTAAGCTCCCTGATAATAGGTTTTCCATATACTACTCTATAAAATCGTTCCTTATGTGGTATTAATTTTAATAGAAGTGATATGGCCCTCGAAGGGAACTGATAAGAGCTTGTTCAACACACATTAACACGTTGTGAGGTATGTCGAGCTGGGGAAATACAAACAAGTTCGTATAGGACGGGGGAGGCAGCAGGGGAGCCGGGAGACGGAGTTCAATCGCCCGCCTAATCGCTCCTTCTGGTAGGCTTCTATGTTGCTGGAAGCCACCAGGCGCTAAGTCGGATCCTTGCTGGCAATCGATGGGATAGAGGAAGGAGTAGTTGCGGAAGGCGGCGGCGGCGGCGGCCGCCGTGGTGTGTGCGTGCGCGCACGCCTAGCTTTTCCATAAAGATTTTATGGGGTCCTGCAAAGTTGCCATAACCTCTACCAGGTTCCCCATCCAGCAGCCAAGGAACCTCAGGAGAGCGTCTCCATTTTAACTTGCCCGAAGGAGAGCAGAGAGCGTTCTCAGGAAGGCCCCCACTGTCTTCAGTCCACATAAAAAGAACCCTGGAGGGGGATGTCAAAAGGAGGAAGGGGATTTCCTCCTCGCAGGCGCAAGCAGGGCAATATTAATCCACGTGAGGGTTGACAGATCAATACTTCTCCTGCGGCTGGTGGGAAAGGCCACGTGCGGCGTGGCATCTGTTCCAGCCTCTTATTCTTGCAATGCTCGCCCGGCCATCCACACTGTGGGAAAGCCAAGGTGAAACCGCAGGAGCAGCGAGGGCTGACAAGCCACCCTCCGCACACGGCTAGGCTTGGGCAGCCGCGAAGCCGGTGCCTCGCCTCGTTTCCCCGATTTCCTTGGCATTCCTTCGCGCTTTTGAGAGCTTTATGGACGGAGACGTGGGTGCCAAAACGGAACCGAGCAGAAGATTTACGGCACAATATTGAATTGTTCAAAAGAATATTCTTACTCGCTTGGGAGCAGAGACAGGCGATTATTTAAGTCCTACCAGCTGGGGCGGTTTGGAACGGGAGACGCAAAATACGGATTTGTTGTTTTATGTTAAGAGAGAGAGGGAGAGAGAGAGAGAGAGATTAAAAATGAACAATTCCAGAAGACGCCGTGGACAGCAAGCTTTGTTATGGCTCCAGATTCAGTGTGTGCGCTTTCCAAGCAACAGAAACCAAGCTTAGGAGGGACAGGAGAAGCTCCTCTTTCGGTTCCCCCTCATATCTGTCTTCCCTGCCTGCCGGTCTCTGTCTGTTCGCTGTCTGCTGGCTTCACCACAGTTACATATGGACTGCTCAGCATTGTTTGGTAGCTCTCGTTAGCCTTTTATGAATGGGAAGAGTCCGTGTATGTAACAGCGTCAAAAGCGCATCACCCACGTGAAGCTCTTTAAAGATAATGTACAGGTGGATGCATTTAGTGGTTTAGAGTTTGGTGTGTACTGTTTAGAATAGATGCGTTCTTGGAAACTGGAGATGCGCTCCTAAATGGATTGTGTTGCTGTAGCGGTCCTGAACAGGTTTAATTATTATTGCTCCACACTTACCTGGAAGTAGTCGTCCCATTGAGCACTTGGACTCTTATTTCTGGGTGAAAACCAATAGCCTGACAAACAAAACACATGCGGGGAACTTGTATATAGAATAAGTCTTGGGCAGGAGAATTTTCCTCATTACAGTAGTTGACATCTTGAGGAGTCATTGGGTGACTTTATGACATCCGTAAACCTTCAGAAGTAGCGAGAAGGTCAGATTTGGTTTAGAACTTCCAGTGGCCCATGAGACATAATCACCACTCTCATCATCGTAACCCTAAAGTAGGTAAGCAAATAGATGTCCCACAGCCTTGCCATAAATACTGGGACTTGGTGGCATTATTAATTTCATCACGGCCATGTGTAGTGCGATGGGATTGTAAAGGGGGAGGGGGAATGCGAGGAGGGGGAGGAACAGGGATGCTGAAAGGCTCACTTACAGATCGCTTGATGAGCTAAACACTTCAAACCCATCTTGCTCCTTTGCAGTTTTATATTAGCACATATGCTAATAGAAGCCCGATAAATTATGGGCCACATTAAAAATCCTGCAAATTGTTTTCTATTGTTTTTCTCTCTCCCCCACCACCTCCCCGGTGCATGCAACTGCGTAGATCCATCCCCCCACGGCCCCTCCTTGCAGACAGACAGATGCAGCACCGTGGAAACATCGATTACACATGGAAAATAGATATATTTCCTATATAAATATATAAATTCAGAAGTGGACCGAGGAGCAGCTCGGTGTCTACGAAACCAAACTGGGAGGGGTTGCGAGCGAGGGCTGGGTTTCCATTGGCTGCACGCACTTGCCGTGGCGCGGGGGCATCTCTAGTCATATCCAGCATGTTTTGCACAAGAAATGTCAGCCAGGAAGGGCTATCTGCTCTCTTCGCCAAATTATTCCTCGGCAATCATGGCATGCTCCGAGAGCCCCGCCGCAAACTCTTTTTTGGTGGACTCGCTGATCAGCTCAGTCTCGGGCAGAGGGGAAGGAGGAGGAGGAGGCGGCGGCGGCGGCGCTGCTGGAGGAGGAGGAGGAGGAGGAGGAGGAGGAGGAGGAGGAGGAAGCGGCGGTGGAGTTTCAGGCGGCGGCGGCGGCGGCGGCGGCTACTATCCCAACAACAGTGGCGTCTACCCGCCGCAGGCGACCGATCTGTCCTATGGGTTGCAAGGCTACGGGCTTTTCCCCGTCCTGAGCAAACGCAATGACGGCCCTTCTGCAAGCATGGTGCCCTCTTCTCAGGCGTACATGTCAGGGATGGAAGTCTGGCTAGATGCCCCGAGAGCCTGTCGCCTGGAAGAGCCGGAGAGCCCGCAGGCGACCTCTTGCTCCTTTGCTCCCAGTATCAAAGAGGAGAGCTCCTACTGCCTGTATGACTCCGACAAGGGCCCCAAAGAGGCGGCGCCCACCGACCTGCCGACTTTCCCAAGGCTAAGCTCAGAGGTCTGCTCCATGAACAACATGACCGCTGGGGTGCCTGTCCCTGGCTACTTCCGCTTGTCTCAAGCTTATGGCACCACCAAGAGCGGCGGCGGCGGCGGCAATTACAACTGCAGCAACCAGCACCAGCACCAGCACCAGCACCAGCACCAGCACACGGGCCACATGGTTGCCGCCGCCGCCGCCCAGTTTGCCCCGCATCCTCAAGTGCGCTTTGAGACCCCTCCAGCGCTGCCACCGGCCGTCCCGCCACCAGATGCGGGGAGCAAAGAAAGCGAAGACTCTCCCCCACCCAGCACTTTGGCCTGTGTTCCCCAAAGGGGGGAGGAAGAAGGTCACGCTTCCTCCTCGGCCGCAGAAGAACTTTCCCCGGCGCCGTCAGAGAACAGCAAGCCCTCCCCTGAGAAAGAAGCCCTAGGTAAGCAAAAGAGAGAGAGAAAGAAAGAAAGAAAGAAAAGTAGGAGTCGGGGAGCATTTCCCCCCCAAACAGAAAGGGGAAGCGCTCAGCACTAAGCCTCCTCGCCGGCCCAGTATTTCTTTAGTACTTCCAATGGCACTTTAGTAAGACTGGATTCATATCACATTCCTTCCGAGTTTATCTGTTTGGTTCCTGGGCTTCCAGCCCTTTCCCTATCCCCTACGCAATGACCCACTGAATTGCCCTTCCGATTTGGGCTCATTATTACTACTACTATTACTATTCCTGAAGCCCTTCCCAGCGTGTTTACAAGACTCAACTGTGGGCAAAATCCTAAAGCACAGACACAGAGCATTGAAAAAGTTTTTTTTAAATGCTGACCTTCCTCAGCCAAAGTGGTGCAGAGGTGCCTGAAGAGATAACACGGATGTTTGTAAAGAGTCCAAAGTAAGCAAGAGGCCAGTGCTAATAAATAAACCCATTAGCAGGCTAAGTTCTAGTTTACGATCCTGAATGCCTTAAAAAAAAAGCAGCCCGTTTGAAATTCTCCTTCCATGCAGCACTATCAAATGAGCCTGGAGACTGCAGTGCAAAGGTTCTTCAGTGCTTAAGGAAGCTTTTGTGATGAATAGACTGAAGGCCATTGGAACAAATGGGAACGGCGCATAAGACCCACAGGTTCCCTGTTCGATCCCCATTCATTTCTGTGGGGCTTCTACAGGAGAGCTTTCCCATGCATTAGACCCTTTCAAAAGAAATCTCCACAGGGTTGGAACTTTTTGCTACTTGCCCGCACTTCTACATTGGGCTGTGCTAAAATGTGCATGTGAGCATTTACATGTGCGTAAACTGTGTGCAAACCATTTTTTCCATCTTCAACTATACCAAACAAAAAGAAATGTACGGGTACTTTTTAAAATAAGCATGTGTGCTAACCATCCCACCGCTAAATTGCCCAACTGTTTAAATGAACTAAAAGGTAGGAAAAGGAAACCTATAGTTCTATACTGTGCATGTTTACTTGACCGACTAAATTAAAAGGGTCTGATTTCTCAGTGAGTTTGGATTGCAGCCTTAACCAGCTAACTGATTTGGGCAGAAAACTCACAAAAGGAACAAAAGCAGAGACGCAGTAGTAAACCTAGAAATTCACTGGAGCTCCTTAGGTTTTCAAATAAAACCTAAAACCTTGACACAAGGTATTTGTTTTCCTTGACATTTGAGCATTTTGAGGAGGTGTTGTTAAAGGGCAACTGAACTGGAGTCCAGTAGGATGCCACTGCCAAAGGCACTTACTCGATGCCTCGGTGTCAACTGCAAAAAGGATCAGCTCTGTGGGATGAGAGAGCAACTCAGGTCTGTGGGCAGTTTAGGAGAATTTTAGTAATGCTCTCGGAGTTCCGTGCAGGGTAGAATTTAAAAGTGAACCCTCCACCCCACAAAAAAGGAACCTTAAAGGAAGGACTTGATGGCCGTAGAAGAATCAGATTTGAACTCCTTAGTAAGCACTATCCTCTCTTTTTCCAGGGTCTCTTGGTAACTCCCTGTCTTACTCTCTTAACACTAGGCAACTCCAAAGGAGAGAATGCTGCCAACTGGCTTACCGCAAAAAGTGGCAGGAAAAAACGATGCCCGTATACCAAGCACCAAACCCTTGAGCTGGAAAAAGAGTTTCTTTTCAATATGTACCTGACTCGTGAGCGTCGCCTAGAGATCAGCCGCACGGTCCACCTAACAGATAGACAGGTTAAAATCTGGTTTCAGAACCGCAGGATGAAACTGAAGAAAATGAACAGAGAAAACCGAATTCGAGAGCTCACAGCCAACTTCAATTTCTCCTGATGAACCTAAAGACGCCTCATGGTGGTCTAAGCAGCCGGCCACCTCCTCTCCAGGCTTTCCACTACTGGCTCCTGCGTGGATTTGAACCTTCTGATTACATTCTCAGCCTCCCCCATAGCTCTGGGTAATTGATTTTGTTGGGATAAAGCCATAATGATGCACACAATATGCCATTTTCTTGTTCTGCCCTTCTTTTACTGTTGCTGCTGGAAAGTCTGCCATGAAGGGAGGTAGGATTTCCAGAACCTAAATGCCTATTCTCTGCACGCACACCCTGCTCTCTTTCGGAAAACTGAGCCAAGCCTACCTGAAGGCAGATTGCATCTCCACCACCCCAAAGCCCCCCGAGCCCCCATAGGTGAAGCAGGAACACTGACTGAAGTGTCATTTCCAATCATTTAAATTTAACCACGTTGCTGCTTAATACAGGATTGGGTCTCCCTCGCCCCTTTGTGCAGTCATGCTAAGATACTGGTGTGTGAAGAAAATCAGGTTATATGGTCTAAAGTTATACGGTCTAAGGAGCAAGACTGTGTGTATTTGTTCATTTGTTTCCCTCAAATGTTTAATATCGCAGCTTTAAGCGTATTCAGGAAGAAGAAGAAAAATGAGAGACCTCTCCCCTCACCTCCCTTGAAAGATAGGAAGAAATTCGTGTTCCTACATGGCTAAATTATTACACTTTCTGGTTGTAGATAACAACTAATGTAGTTTATTTTTTTGTTCTGTTTTTGTTTTGCTTTGAATGAGATAGGGTACTGCTCATAATGCTTGACAAGCACATACAAAGAAAGAAAGAAAGAAAGAAAGAAAGAAAGAAAGAAAGAAAGAAAGAAATCATCCCACTTGGGAGGTGAAAAAAACGTTGCCCACTCTGTCTATGGGGAAATATGTTATGTGTGGCACCAGAAGGATTTCCTGATGGTGTGAGGCAGTGAAGGAGAAGATGCCCTAAATTCCTTGATACTGTGAAGTTACATGCATTGCAAAGGTCAAGCGTGTAGTGCAAACAAAGAGAAGAAATAATAATAATAATCTATGGATACAGATATGTATAAATGTCTATTAATATTAAAATTATTAATATTATTATTAAAATGCAGATACAGCTGGAAGTAAAGCATTCTATATCATTATTCTGAATGTTAGTTCTAGTTCTGTCGCGTTCTTACCTTAAAGCCGAATAAATTAATATTGTAATGCTGCTGTGTGTGGAGCGAAAACAAAACGCAACAAGATGGAGACGCTGTTTATGTTCTCTTAGAAGAATAAAAGACATGGAATGACACCCCCCACACACACTTTTTGAAAAAAAGATACCTCGTTTTGTGACTGTTTATTCTCAGGGTCCTACTTTTAGATCTCCAAGAACTTTTACAACAGGGAATGCTTTGCCCGCGCCCCCTGCAATTACTTTAGGAATCTATTTAAATATTACCTAGACGGTCGTAATTTGTCTGGGCCATATAGCAATGGTGCTGTAAGGTTTGTCCGCTTTTGTTCAGTTTTATGACTTGCTGGTATATCTGGATTGTTGCTGCCTTGGACGAGCGGTTTCAGTGGAGGGAAGAGCCGCAGACAGAGGAAGCCTCGAGCGATCCCTTTCAGACTTGATCCCTCGAGCGATCCCTTTCAGGCTTATTTTTATTTTCCTCTTACTTGAATTTGCGAGGATCTATCTTAACCATCCCGAGCCGTTTCCGCCTTCAAAGGAAAACCCAGATGGCTCAAAAGCCACGCAAAAAGGTGAGCACGTGGGAATTCGGATGCTAACCCTAGTTCTGTCCTGATCACCCCGCTTTTCCGCCATGTTTATTCCTCTCCTACCTGGCTTCATGCGGATGTGGTTAGGCAGAAAAGCCGCCTTTGGTTTCGGTAGCGCTCCTTGTTTTATCCAATCTAAAATCCAGACAAAGGCAAATGAGGAGGGGAGGGGAGGGGGGCAGGGTGCGAGAGAGAAGTTGGGGGCGGGGGGCGATAGGAGCCTGAACGGGCGATAGCCATCTCCCCCCCCCCCCACCCCCGGGACAGAAACAGACTTTGAACCCGAGTATTTTGATAGCCTATGGCTGTTTGCGAGGAGCCCTTATCGCTCAGGGCCTGTCTCTTTCCCGCCCCCACTTATCCTTTAAGTTGCACGCAGAATTCTTACAGATGTGTCCACACAAACACGCTGCTGTGAAACCGTGCAAGCGCGCGCGTGGGGTGGGGGGACCCCATTAAATACAAAGAAGCTGGAGGGTATCTAGACGGGAGACGGCGACCACGGCGGCGGCGGCTGCGGCGGCGACAAGGGAGTTACGGAGTCATGATGCTGGTTTTTATATTTTTCATTCCTAGCGCGACCCATTTGCTTAAGGAAAGCGGCTTATGGGGAGTCCTCTTAATTAGGCGGCTGAGAACTGGTCGGTGATTTAGGTAGTTTCATGTTGTTGGGGCTGGAGCTCTCTCTCTCTCTGCAGCACGAAACTGCCTTAATCACTTCAGTTTGTAATCATCAACCGGGTGTAATTATAAGTGCGCGAGCAGAGATAACCATCCGCCTCTAAGGACTGAAGAAACTGGGGCGGGGGAAATCCTTTCTCTCGCTCGGTCTCCGGGAGGCGTCAAGTTCCAAAGCCATTCCTTCCCTACCTGCGCCGAAAAGCCCCGTCCTTCCACGCTGCCTTAAATAAATATTCCAGCCAAGGTGGGAAAAGTCATTCTTAAGGAGCTCATGAAAGAGGCCTTCCAAGTTAGCCAAGATCCTAAGTTAACCAACTTCTGATTGTGTTCGGACAAATTTCTTTCAAGGTCAGGTACAATTTACATTATAGGAATGGCCTCCATATCTGGCTAAACCTGGATTTTCGGGTATTTTGTTTGCTGTTTGCGGGGGGTGGGGGTGGGGGTGGAGTTTTTGGGTTTGTGTGCGTGCATGTGGGTATGTTTGTGCGGAGCTTTTTGTCATTTTATCATTTTTTTCTTTTACTTCTTAAAGGAATTTTCCACGGACCATTTTATTCACTTTCCCATTATTTCTTCTTCTTCTAAGAACCTGGCAGCTATTTCCAGCTTTGCTCACCCAGGGCTGCTTTTCTCTCATTATATTTTATTGAGCAATATTGTTTCAGAGGGGCGCGCAGGAGGGGGGGGGGGCGCGGGGGCGCGCACACACAAACCCACGCGCGCGCGCTCGCACCCCCCCCCCCCCCCTCTCTCCCCAGGCTTGCAGTTGGTGGCATTCACAGATCGCCCCCTTCGCTTCGTTGCCTCGCTTCCCCAAATTTCCAGCGCCGCTTCCCGAGCTCCGCGCGCGCGTGTGGCGGGGGCGAAGGATCCGCGGCCCCTGCGCGGAGGCGCACGCGGGAGACGGGGAAGAAGGCGCCAAATGAGAGAAAACCCCTCGATTTCTGCACGGCTGACAAGGCCTCGGTTACGATCATTATTGGCCTGGCTCCGGGGCCGCATTCCGGGAGGGGAATAAGCAACAGCGACCTCGCTCGGGCTCCGAGCGGAGCTGTGCCAGCGCCTGGCCTCTGATGCGCGGAGCGGCGAGAAGGCGCTGCGGCGGCCTGTTTCCAGCCAGGACACGCACGGCTTGTGTGGACGAGACCTCTCCCCTGTGCGTGCCTGCCTGCCTGCGTGCGTGCGTGTGGATGAGCCGTGTGCGTGCGTGCGTGCGTGCCCGCGTGCGTGTGTGGAGCAGGGCATGGGGATCCCCTTCTTGGTTTCTTTTTTCCCACAGCCTTTTTCAGTGTTGCAGTTCTCGGAGAACAATTGGGGGGGGGGGAGGCAGGGAGAGGGAAGGAAATCATATTAGCTTATCGCCCCCCCCCCCACCTCGCTTGTCCTTGCCGCAACGGGCCACTTTGCCATGACTGAATAAATTCAACGGCGGTGCCAGAAGATACACAGGGGGTTCGGTCTGGCTTCAATAAGTGCACCGTTCCCTACACACACACAATCAGATGTTCTTAAGACTAGACTATGTAAAGGTCCATACAACATGAAGACACACAAAAAGGACACTTGATTAGATTATCTTAACTGGCTACACTAGTAAACAGAGTTTTCTTCTGAATCATTTGCTGATTCCTTATCATTTATTCCACCCGCCCCCCCCCCACACACAGACCCTAAAAGGAAAAAAAAACTCTGGAAACTCTCCATTATCATATGTAATATATTGCCTCGAGCGTAATATTCATCTGAAAATAAAGCAATTAATTTTATACGCAGGCATACACACAAGCGATCCCTGTGCGTACATATTTGCGTATGTGGGAGGATTTAAAATAGATTGAGAAACAGACTAGCCTTCTTTTTTAAAAATGTGAAATGTATAGGAAGGTGCAAGGATAGAACTTATATTTAAAAAACCCCAAACAAAACTATAACACTGATTGTGGTGGTAAGACCTTTGTTCTTTTTATCCATTCAATAGGAAGATGGAAAGGTTTCATCTTAACATCAGTACATACATTTAAAACTCTGAAGTGCAACTCTGTGTGCACAAAGGCTATAAGGCTTACACACTCACCACTGAGTCTTACATTCCAGTAGACATGTATAGGATTACACTGTAGTATTCTATTGAGACCAATGCAACATTTTTGAATTTGGGAGAAAATACACCAAAATATAGCTGCAACCAAAAATATAATTAACTTGGAAGCAAGCAAAAAAACAAATATTTTGGTTCAGGACAAGGACGAATGTTTATAGCTGCTTTAGTTCTAGATTTAATTCCATGGGAAAGAACCTCAGCTTTAGGCAAATGAAGAGTCTGCTTCCATTATTATATTGCCTTTTTAATGTATAAACATGAAGTATATGAGTCAAGAAGCCTAATTAAAAAGAAGAGATGTGTTTTCCAGAAAGCAACACATCTGCATAAAATGGGGGTGCTGGTGGCAAGAGTGACACAGGAAGTGTGTTACTTATTCTTTTCGACCATTTAATCCTTCCTAGACTTTCAAATTGAAGTTAACCGCCTCTGCTTAAATTCTTTAACTGCAATTAATGTTAGCGTGTGATGCTAGGAACATATGGAAGGTTTCTTCTGTTCTAAGTGGAACCTAATTCTTCTTGTTCCCATTTTAGGAGGCTAATCAGAAATGAAAAGTCACCACCACTTCCAGAACTCAAAACGTAATAAAAACATTTAGGAATCCTGCTGCTAAGATTATTTTTCCCCCCCTCCTCCAAGTGGGGAAGGAAGTTCTGCAAAGATATACCACAACAGCTGACTCTCGATTTTAAACAAAAATGATGTCAGGCTTCCGTCTTTCCAGGAAATAAATAGACTATCCTCTTAGGATTTCTCACTGGGGCGATCACAGAATTAAAGTTGTGCGCCCGTAAGAAAACCTTTGTGTGCATTAGAGGACTGAGTGTGAAGGAAGAAAGATTGCCAGCAACGCCTGTTCGAAATGGTCTGTGTTTAGATCTGTGAAATATTAATTGTTTCTTGTAATCTCAAGACCTCATGTCAAGAAAAAGAACTAGTGGTGAATTTAAGGGTTTTTTCCCCCTCAAGACTTTGCTATTGGAGGGTTATGAAAGAAGAAAACAACGCCGATGTGATGTAAAACTAACGAGAAACATACCTTTCGTGGGCAGAATATTCACACGTGAATTTAATTAGCACGAGGTTCTCCTCGTATTTGGCAAACTAGTCCAAATAAAAGTTTAAAAAAGGATTTAAAAAAAATAGAGACATTTGCAAGATCCACCTCCTTCCCTCCTCCCACTCTTGAGACAAGGTTTTTTTCCCTTTTGCAAAAACCAGAAAAAAGAAATAAACACAGGAACCCTTCCGTGAAAACAAAGCACCCCGTGCCACAGACAGAAGGCATTTAGCCAGTACTTTAATTCACAACACTGGACTTGATCTGACCGTATCACCTTCGCTTTGCTGGTGTTTTTTCTCCTGAGGGCCATAACCCTCCTCTCAGTTGTACCAAGAAACCACAGAAGGTGCCAGGAAAGAAATAATGGTTTACACCCAAAGTAGCGGCTCGGCAAGGCGGTCCCTTGTCTGAAACGCACCGGGGAAGCCGGGCGCTGCAGACCAGGCGGAGGGCAGCCTCCTTCCTCCCCTCGCTCTCAGGCATACTTCAGAATTAATTGTCAGTGGTAAAATATGCCCGTTCCACCTCGCCTACTCCGCCGGGCACACACGCCCGCCAAAGCGGGGCTTTATCCGGCTAAGCTGAAGGTGTAGCTACACTTGGGGGGGGGCAGGGGGAGACAGGCAGTTCACACACCCCTGAGCAAGCAGACTCCGCCGCACTCAACTTGATCGAGGGCGCGGCGTGCCCGCGTTATTTCTTCTGCAAAACTCCGCATTCTGTTCCTTCTCTCGAGTTGGGAGTTGGCCGGTCTCTCTCCCTTTTCTTTTCTCTGTCTTTTTCCCTTGAAGAGGAGGAGGAGGAGGAGGAGGAGGAGGAGGAGGAAGAGGAAGAAGCACACTTGCTTGCTTATCCACGTGCTCAAGGCATTCCGCACCCCCAAAAGATATTCTTGCTAAGATGGTACACGTCGCAGTAACATCTAAGAAGGGCACACACACAGAGACACACACACGTACATAATTACCCCTACAAGTGCAGGTTAGAGAGAGTTTGTGTCAAAACTTAAATATATCACGTATTTTTTTCCCTGCAGCCGAAAGTATTACTGTTACTATTGTTGTTGTTATTTTACGGGAGGGGGGAATAAAGGGATGTCTTGGACCCTGAAAAGTGGGTGTCTGCAACCACTAATAAGGGTTTGCCGGTTGTGGCTCCGACCAGTTTGAGATCGGAGGTGCCTGTAAAGATGCAAATTTCGATATCGATTTGAAATTCCCCACCGTTCTTGTCCGCCTGTGCTGTGTGGCGCGGTGGAGGAGGAGGAAGAGGAGGAGGAGGAAGAGGAGGAGGAGGAGAAGGCAAAATCCCTTTCTGAAGAGGAGAACTGTGTTGGATTTGACTTTTCTCTGCCAACTCCAGCTAGCTCTGAACTCAACGGCACAATATTATTTACAGTGAGTTCCCAAACTAAACACAATAGTATAATTTAACCTTTCCAGGCACTCGTAAATTTTTACTGCTGTGAAACACAGCGATGCAAATGAATACGCTCGTAGTTACTGACTTAATAACAACCCCGTGGCTCCCGAAACAATAACTTCTTATGAAATATAATAAATATATATTTAAATACAGTATACCGCCAATGTTATTTTGCTTTTTTTATGGCTTCAATTATTGTATAATTTTATGGGAAGGTCTCCGATCACACGAAGAGTGCCCTCTCTCTTTGTGCGTGCGTGTGTGTGCGTGTGCCCCTCCCTCGCTCTTTCTCTCCGCTTTTTTGTGTCTCAGAGAAACACGAACTACTGATGGGATGATTAATTATGATATAAAATAGTCCGCTTAAAAGAAGGTGGCCATCCTGCCCCCGCCCCAAAATCCGATCTTTTAATCTAATTTGGCCACAATTAAAACAAACCCTGCCGCACCGCGCGCCGAATCCTCTGCACCAAGAAACATATGCCTTTGCTATAAAGATGATGACTGGAAAACACTAACCCATTAATAGCCTGCGGACTGATTTATACTTTATTGTTCTGCTGCCCGGCCACGTGACGCGCGGCGGCCAATGGGCGGGCGGGCAGCCTCCAACTTATTAGGTGACTGTACTTCTGGCGAGGACCAAGTTGTTACATGAAATCTGCCGTTTCATAATTTCGCCAGGTCCTCCGCGCGTCCCTCCGGAGCGGGCGCCGCCGCCGCCGCCCGGGAGCGCGATGTCGTCCTCCGGGGCGCTGAGCAATTACTACGTGGACTCGTTCCTCCTGCACGAGGGCGACGAGCTGGTGCAGGCGCGCTACGGCGCGGCCCCGCTGGGCCAGCCGGCGCGGCAGGCGGCCCTGGGCGAGCACGCCGAGTTCGCGCCCTGCAGCTTCCAGTCGAAGGCGTCGGTCTTCGGCGCCTCCTGGAACGCCGTGCACCCGCCGGGCGCCGGCAACGTGCCCGCCGCCGTCTACCACCCGTACGTGCATCCCCAGGCACCGCTGGCAGCGCCCGAGGGCAGGTACATGCGTTCGTGGCTCGAGCCGCTGCCGGGCTCCCTGTCCTTCCCGGGCTTGCCGGCCAGCAGGCATTACGGCATTAAACCGGAACCGCTCTCGGCCAGGAGGGGTGACTGTACCACCTTTGACACGCACGCACTCTCTCTGACTGACTATGCTTGTGGTTCTCCTCCAGCTGATAGGGATAAGCAAGGCAACGACGGGCCGTTCTCGGAAAACCACCAGCACCCCGGCGAGAGCGAGGCAAACGGAGACAAGCCCCCGCTGGACCCAAGTAAGCGCGCCGGGCCCGGCGGGCCCGCCGGCGGGGCGGGCCACGAAGGCATGTACCTGCCC